GGTAATTTTATGTGATCTTCTTGATCAGGAATCCAAAGTGGTCTGTCCACTTTCCAACATGCATTGCAAGCAGAGGTAGTAGATACCTCTTGGATTATCTGTAATTTCTATGTATTGGTTAACAGACATAAGCTCGTAGAGTCAAAAAAGCCTGTTAAACAAGTACAATCGACTTATTAATACCCTATTAAGAAATAATTCATGGGGGCTGGAATGATACTTCAGTGGGTAGGAGCACTCCTTGCTCCCGAAGAATCATCAAAGTTTGATTCCTAGCACCCACACAGTGGCTCACAACTTGTCTAACTCTAGTTCCAGGGGCTCTGGTGCCCCCTTGTGGTCTCCAGGGGCACTGCATGCACATACTATACAACAATACACGCACATAAAAAACATTCAGACACACAAAATAAATGTTCTTTTAAAACTTTTTAAAGAAAGCAGTTCATACCAAATTGCCCCAGTGAAGGACTTAGCCTGCTCGGCAGGTTATTTCAGGTAATACTGCATTTCATCCCTAGCAGCCTAGTTCATAAGGTACAAGGTACAAGGTACAAGGCTGTGAATGCAGGTATTTCTGCTTTCAGAAAGTCCAAAAGCTACAGGCCAGGGAGAGAGGTTAGTTTTTCATTCTTCCCTTCTGTTTTGCCCCCACTCCACACCCTTACGCCCCTCACAATCTCCCACAACAAGCTCATACTTCCAGGCCAGCTGGTGGCCCCAGGAGAAAGAGGATCCCGTGTCCTGAGCTAGCTGCTGGCTATCACTGGGAGTATCTTCAAAGAGTGACTAATTGCTGGTTTCCTGATAACCCCTGTGTGTGGCTTCTTCCCTTATGAAATATTAAAGGCTTTTCTGCCGATATCCTTAATTAGAATACACCATGACATCACAGAAGGGCAGAACTGGAGGGGATCTTCAGAATGGGACAGCAAATAAATTCATGTCCCTGGTCATCAGCTTGATCTCCTGCCCTAAAACCTCCGAGGTGCCCAGGGCCAGCTTGGATGATGTAATTAGGGTAACTGAGGCCCGTTCTTGTTGACCTCCCTCCTTTGATGTGCCTAAAAGGCTGGGGAGCAGAAGTTGTTTCCCTCTGCCTAGGTCATAAATAACCGACCACAAAATCCGAAGGCATAAGCATTGATTTTCCTTTCCCTGTGCCTTCAAAACACAGCCTGTCCGTCATTCGGGTCTTTTCGCCCTTTCAGCAAAAAGGACTTGTTCCTTTTTACATAGATTATTCAAAAAGCCTCACCTCCATTGTCTTAAGTAAATGGTGTGTCAGGCCTACTAGAGGCAGAGAAAATGTATAGAAACTAAGCAAACAAACACAATGAAAAGATCCACAATCTGCAATTCTCTTAAAAAAAAAAAAAAACCCTAATCTTTTCTGCAATATTGTATCCATTTCCTTTAGAGCCAGAGTGCACCTGCCCTGAGGCAGAGCCATTGCAGTCCTCACCGATCCTGCTTAGGGTGGTTATTCATACATTTTGTTGCAGAAATGTTAATGTATTTGATTTTGCAACAGAGCCCCAGACCTTGTCAACCAGTTAGATAAAACAGAACACACGAGCCATATCCCCTTTCTAAAATAAAATATGAGGTCTTGAATTCCAAAACATGTTTACTCCCCAGGGCTTTAGATGATGTATTCAGGGCAGGTGGTTTAGGGTAGTGGTCATTCTCGGCTAAGACCTCCTTCAGCAGGCTCTTTTATTTAGATACACTGAAGCAGAGGGAGGACCAGCCCAGGGCGGGTGCTAACAGCTCCTCCTGATGTGGCGAGGAGGCCACCTGCACTCTGTATCTTCCTCTGCTGACAGCATGGGGGTGTCACGCGCCATGGGTTCTCTTCCAGAGGCCTCAGCCTAGGAAGGACAATGGGTACAGCTGGCAGTGAGACCCCCACCTAGGAAGGAACCTCTTTATTCTATTTTTATTCTATTTTATTCTATTTTTGCGACTTCTGGTGTGTTGAAAAGTGGTTAAGGGCCAGGGAGAGGTTTGAGCAGATAAAGGCGCTTGTGCAGCCCGAGTCCAATCCTGGGAAGCCACATGGTGGAAGGAAAGGAACCGACTCCCGCAACTTGTCCTCTGAGTGCCTCAGGCACACAGTGGTATAGCACACGCACCCACACGCGCATACGCACAAACACACAATGTAATAAAAAATAGATCAGAATTTTATAATAGATAAGATTATATTAAAACTGGTAATCATTGCAGCGGTTACTACAGTCATCTAATAGAATGCTTTGTTTATTAATGTTTTGGGGGTGTGTCTATGTGTATGTGCGTAAGTGTGTGAATGTGTCTGTTGCCGTGGAGGTTGCAGGACAACCTTGGTGTCATCCTCGGAAACTCGGTCTACCTTCTCTGAGACAGAGGCTCTTGTTGGCCTGGATCTCACCACATCGGACTGGCCAGCAGTCCCTAGAAACCCCCGAGTCCCCGTCTCCCACCACTGAGACTACAAGAACATACCCCCACATCCAGAATTCTATTTTTATGTGGGTTCTGAGCATTAAACTGAGGTCCCTATGCTTTGGGAGCAATCACTCTTCTGAGTCAGCTATCTCCCCAACCCAAATGTGCCGTCTAATGTGGCTGGAGCACTCCTTTGCACTGCGATGAAAATGGTACCCTCTAGCAATGGGCAGGAGCATAAGGCTGGAAAGTGAGGGTCTCTCTGACTCAGTCTGTTGTATATGACACTGCGTGCGAGCGTGTAATCTCAGAGCGTGTGCTATCACAGGTCTAATGGGAGGCCTCTTGGAGGGTGCCTACCCCAGGTCCTTCTCTGGGAACCCTTGCAAGGCTGAGGAGTGGGGTTGGGCATGCAACATGGCAGCCCCGCTCTCAGATACAAACTGGTAGTCCGGAAGCGGTAGTTCCACCTTCAGGTCACCAAGGCTGGCCCTTGGGCAACGCGGCAGGAGGAGGAAGGTTGTGCCATACGCTTCTGCTTTAACAGCACAACTGTCACATTGTTGGGGTTCTCCGTCGAGGGGCTGCTTAATCAGTTCAGTTCAGGCAGAGAATGAAGACGCCAGTGTATTAGAAGGGGCTAAGTTTAGCAACAGAAATCTGTGGGAGGGCTGCTGTCTAGAGCTGCTGAAGACAGCTGGCTTAATTAAAATCAATTCTTTCAACCGTTCAGAGCTCTCTCTGCCTGCCACTTCGTGAGAAGGCACTCCAGCTCAGCCACCTACAGGGTTAACCACTATCTCGTTGTGAAAGGAGTTTGAAGTCATGGTTTGTAGCAACAAAAACAAAAGGAACTTCCCTACACCCCACTTCAAGTGACAAAAGAGCAGAGCACCCTGAAACCATCAGCTCTTCTCCGTGGCCACCAGATGCTGGACTTCCACCATCCTTTCCGTAAAAGGAAAGGCCGAGAGAAGAGGAGAAGATTTTTACTGACTGTGAAGGCCCAAGCCAAGGCTTAAAGGAATATTTGGGCATTTTGTTCAACTTGTCTGGACTACTCACAAACATGTACTCAGAGCCTGGCCTTAAGGGCTCCAATCCTCCTTCCAAACCTCGGGGACCAGCTTCAGCCTTCCTGAATTACGTCACTGGACATCCATCTAGACATTTTGCTGAGCGTGTTTATGACAGTCTACAGAGGAGGCTATATCACTGCACGGCAAAGGAGTAGAGTGGAGCATAAAAGAATGAAACCATCTGTCATGTCAGGGCCACGCAGTGGGCATGCTAGAAATAAAGGCACCATTTATCAGTGGGCTGTGAGAGAGATGTAGAAAAGATGGTGTGGACAGGAATGAAAATACCATGATGAAGCCTTTTGTTCTGTATACTTAGTATATGCTAATACAGAAGGAAACCAGATGGGGACAGGCCTGGAGATGTGTTGCCAAGACACGGGCATGCTTATCACACGTCACATAGGGAAGTATTGGGAAAATCCTTGCCATGTTCACCTGAGGACTAAAACCTTATGGAAGGGTAGCATTAGTTCTTTTGCTGGGACTTCTACTACTTTGTGAAACTTAACTCGCCATTTTCTCATTAACCACACCATAACTTATTGCGGAGGCCGAAAGGGAAACCATTTCTTTTCTGCAGCCACCTTCAGCCAGCCATTGACCCAACTCCCAACTCCTTTTAAGAAAAAAATAGCCTGTACTTGTTTACCCAAAAGAGCCCAACCAACCAACCAACCAAGCCTAACCACGTTTCCACACCCCTTATGTTTTAAGTAAAGTCATCCTTTGATTAAATCTAGCAGCTTCCATCACTTCAAATTCATGCTCTTCTTTTCGTTAAGAGATCTCCGAGGATGTCGTTCCTGACCACGGCTCCCACTCTGTGTGCTCCCTCTCCGTCTCCTACCGCTCTCCCTTCTCGGAATGCATTCACCCCTCTCCTGCTCAGGGGTCTGGCATGGCGGCTTCCTCAGCCCACAGCTCTCTCCCAGCTCCTGGCTGCGTCTCATGATTTGACTCAGAAGTTGTTTGTTGCCTCAGCGTCGCCCAACCCCATCGCCCCCTGCTCATCCTCTTCACAGCTTTCACGGCCCTCGCAAGTCATTCCTTATATCTCTCCACGATAAAAAAGAGGCAGGGGCAGGGACATTGCTCCTTTCCCTCACTATGTCTCTAAGACCAAGAGCAGCCACTGGGACAGTAAATCCTCCAGCTGACACGCCAAGGACCCCAGCCCCAGGTACGTGGACTATGAGGGGACTTTCAGCTATTGACCTTCCTCTCCTTGAGGGATCCTGAGAAACAGTGGCCCATCTTTGTCAAGAGTCCAAGACACAGAATTAAACAACGGGACAGAAAACAGCCCTGACTCCAACTGGGAATGAGCGCGGCACACTTACCCCCGACCTGCTAACCCTACCGTGGGAAAACCCGGCAGTGCGCTTTGTACGCTCACTCCCTTCTCACCAGTGAAAACAAAATTAATAGTGCCGTGGCCAAGCTGAACACTGTGGCAGGGGGAGGAAGAAAATGTGTACAGTGTACCTGTCATGAGGAAGAGGAGTCCAGCCACGTGCTGGGTCAGGCTTTCCTCCCAGAAGAAGCTGACAGTGGCCACGATGCAGCCACACAGCAGGACAGCCACGGCCATGCCCAGGAAGCCGGCGGTTATTCTTCTTAGATCTAATCTCAAAAACAGAAACAGACCGTCACAATCGGAGGCGGGGTCAGGAAAGGGACTGAAAATTACAAGACAAGGAGTTTCGTGTGCACTGTGAGAAGACGCTGCATGGGCAGGCTCGGGGCCTTCAAGGCGAAGGATTCAGGGAGCCCTCCTCCCATGCCTCTGTGGATGCATGGGCTGTTCATATCCGGGACAAGCAACCTGAGTAATCTTTGCCCATGTGCCCCTCTGTGTCCATGCAGAACTCAGTTACAAGTACAGAATAGATGAGGGGACAACCTCCGGCGAAATATGAATAACGAACAACATGCATAGTAAACTGGGTGAGGAAGATTCAGGAAACACATCCCCAGCCTTCAAAGAGCACCCCAGATGGAGGTCAGCGTAGCACAGTGGCTCTTATTAACCTGGCTTCTTTCTCGTTGGAGGAAAATGCCTAGAGAGCAAGCCTGAAAGAGGGTTTTGTCTGAGCATCACGGATGCCAATTAGTTTTGTTTGTTTCGTTTCTAGGTACTCCTGTCTATTTCCAAGAGGTATTTAAGAAAAATGTGAGAAAGTGAAGCAGACACGGAGAAGGAAGCAGCCGAAAGTGCGTGATGGAGACAGCCAGCTACTCATAAACACCTCTCACCACTGAGGTACAAGTCTTACAAGCAGAGCGCCTCTTTACTCAGGCCAAAGAGGGACTATGCCCACGGGACAAGTCTCCACCATATGTCTGACAACATCTCTCTCAGCTGCTCTCAACCTGTGGGCTGCAGTTCCTTTGGGGGTCAAATGATCCTTTCGCAGGGGTGGCATATCAGATATCCTGCATATATAGTTAGATTACAATTCATACGCTAGTAAAATCGCAGTTATGAAGTAGCAACAAAAATAACTTTGTGGTTGGGGGTATCACCACAGCGTGAGGAACTGAATTAAAGGGTCACGGCATTAGGAAGGTTGAGAACCACTGCTCTCTAGAGAAATGTGTCTTTCACTTACAACCCTTTAGCAACGCTCAGGTTGTGCACCTTGTGCGCAGTTTACTTTTTCTCATTGTTTCTTTCTGTCCTTCCTGCTTTTGTGTATGTCTTTATTTGGAACGAAACAAAGTGAAAAGAGCTCTTCCCTAGGTGCTTGAAGTCTATGATTCCTCTTAGAACAGGGGTTCCCAGGCACACACCTGCTGCACCCACAGCCTGGCAGCAAGCCTGAACAAACACATGCGTAGTAGCTCTCAGCAGACAGCAGGATGGGGGTATAGGTGTCTCTGCTGCGGAGGAATTATCTTAAGGCCCTAAGCAGAGGGACGGTGGGCGACAGTGGCTTCCAATCTTGGTCATAGCAGCTTAGCCACAGCTGGGTTTCCCTGTTTCTTGTGGGGGGTATTTGGGGGGAGGGGGATGGTGTTGTCTATTTGTTTTTTGAGACAAGGTTTTTCTGTGTAGGCTTGGCTGACCTGGAGCTCACTCTGCAGACCAGGCCGGCCTCAAACTCAAACAGAGATCTGTCTGCCTCTGCTGGGATGAAGGACATGTGCCATCACCATCTCCTGGCTTTTATCCAATGACTTTCTAAGTTTTAAAGTAGCCATCAATATTCATACTAAACCCCACCCTGACAATGTATGAGCCTCCATGTTTGTAGTGAGACTCGGGACGGAACCTTTCACTCTACACGGTGATTCCCTGGAAGAAGGAGACACTGTCTCCAGTGCATGTCTCCACCACACAGCATGACCACAGAACTCTTTGCTGTCTGCTCACTGGAAAAGGTGGCAATGTTGACTTCTGGGACGCACAGGAAAGAAATCAGTGTCTTGTTTTGCTTTCACATGCCCCTCACTACTAGGCAGCTTGAACCAACAGTTTCCAGGTAAATATCCACCCTTTTCAGTTTCGAATTGCATGATCATATCTATACTTTCACATTTCCTTGATAGCAAAAAGAACATTTCTTTCCACTGAGATGCAAAGCTAAGAGACTCTCTCCGAGAAAATTATGGCATATATTCATAAAGATATTTCAGCAAAAAGACAACTATCTGAGCTAAACACAGTAGCTAAAATATTATATAAGCGAAACAAAAATGAGACCAATTAAGGTATAATGTTCAGGTCAAGTGTTTATACCCACAAGTTGGCTTAAAGGAAAAAACAAGATGGAGATGGGCTAGAAAGATGGCTTGGTGGTTAAAGTAAAGATATTACTCTTGGAGATTATTTGAACTTGGTTCCCAGCACTCATGTTTGGTGGCTCACAACAACCTGTAACTCCAGCTTCAGGGTGCTCCAGTGCTATCTCTGGCCTCTAAGGGCACCTGAACTCTCGTGTATATACCCCCCTCACAAAACACATAATTAAAAATAAAACTTGAAAAAACGAAGTTCAGTTACCTGCTGTCAGTCAGCACTCATACTTGGGCAGACAGGCCCATGGCCTTGGCCTGCAGAACTTGACACCTGATCTTCCTCACGCTTGAATTTTGTAAGCGTGCTGTGTTCACAGCAGAGCAAACGGATGCTTGAGGTGACTGACCAAACCCAGTTGGGCCCAGAGGACGCATAGGATAAACAGCTTTCAATACAGACGTAGCAGGGTGCTATGGAATATATAGATATTATTTTTCCTTCTCTGATTCTTTCCCAGAAATACTTACGAAGCAGGTGCCACTCATCTTGCTGGATTGTCTTGGTTAAGTTGAAAGGAATGTTTCTTAAGCGGATCGGCTGAGAGAAATGGTACTTGATAGCTGTACATCGCTGCGCAATACCTTGAAAGAAAGAAATGCGATTTACTAGCCTTTCCATTTGTAATAGAATTCTGCAGCCCAAGGCAGAATAATTTATCCTAAACCAGGTTGAATGAGAAAGGGGCAGAAACCTCTTGATTACTGTCATTAACAGCGGCAACTCATGGCAGCAAAACCCCAAACCTTGAAATAGATTTTTTAAATCACATTCCATTTTAAATGGATTTTTATGAGTATGTATATATACATACATATATAAACATACATATAAATATCACTAAATGCTTTTTATGACTTAAATACAATGCTTTGTATGACTTAAACACAAAGCTATTGAGAGGAAAAATGTGCTAAAATTACAAATGGTTGAAGAAAACCACCCTAGAATTCTAAATTAACACTTAAATGCTTTTTCTAAATTTGATGTAGTCTCAAACTCTCAATAAAGTTTCACCCCTCCCCAAAATTTGTTAGTATATGAGTTACTTAGAAACTAGAAGACATTTTTCCACAGTCAACTTCTACATGGTGCTTTAGGGCGTAACTATAATTGACGAACAAAGTGTACCTAGCCTTCCAGCGGCTGCGTCATCCTTTAATGTTACTGACTTGAGTCATGAGAAAGTCATTAGTCTTGATAGAAAAGAAATTATTTTCTTCCTCTCATCTGCGGCATGGCCAGTCCTGTATTTGCTATGGCCACGTGCAGCCATTGGGTTGTCTGCTCCTCACCTTCATTCTCCCGACCCAGTGCCATTTCCCTCAATGGCTTTGTCTACTCTTCCCCGAAAGCCCTGCGAATCCCAAAAACAGCGTCTACCTTCTCTTAAAACTCAGCAACAAACAGTGTCAGTCATCATGGCCAGTTGCTTGAATAAATGAACCTCATTAAACTAACTTTAAAACCCAGCAGCTGTTAACTAGAGAGCTCTCGCAGATGCAGATTAATTTTTAGTGGGTAGACAGACTCCCAGGAAGTAAAAAGGCAAAGTGAAAAAAAAAAAAAAAACATATAGTGAAAGGAGGTTAATCTTACAGAAATAAATACTGGGAAACCTGCCAAACATCACCTAATATGAAATTGGATAGAAGGAATTTGTAGGAAGACACAAATTCAAAGGCTAACTCAGGCAATAGGTAATCTAATCTGACTACATCTACAACAAGAAAAGGAATGGAGTTAGTAATTAACTCAGCGAAACATTTTCCTAAGAGCAAAAGCGTAAGACGTGGCTGGTGGCTCTTACCAAATGCTTAAAGAAGCAGCCGTCCCTCAGGAACGGAAGTCTGCAATAGCCTGTGTCTGCGTGGGGTGCGTACATGTGTGTGCACAGGTGTGCGTGTGCAGATGAGAGCAGGGAGCAGCCTCGGCTGTCCTTCCTGCCTGCCTTTTTGTCCGTCCTTCCTTCCTTCCTTCCCTCCTTCCTTCCTTCCTCTCTCTTTCCCTCCCACTCTCTCTGTTTTTCTTTCTTGCTTGCTTGCTTTCTTGCTTTCTTTTTCTTTCTATGAGAAAGGACCTCTCCCTAACCTGGAACTCACTAAACAGAGTGGCTAAAATGACCAGCCAACAAGTCTCTAGTGATCAACCTGTTTCCAAATGTTGGCAGCACAACCTTCATCATCTCACCCAGCCTTTTCCTTCTCTTTTTAAAAAACATACAAACAAAAACTCAGGGGTTCTGCAGATCAAAATTGGTCCTCATACACAACTTCCCAGCCCCAGAAAAATATGTAAATTCTTTGATATTTTTCTATGCAAAAATCCCTCACAACATTAACCATCTGAACTCAGCAACATTTTAAAAAGCCACGCATCAGGACCAAATGAGATTATCTCAGGAATACAAATTTGCTCACTATACAAAAGTTCAGCTTAGGCAGCATACCATAAGTGGAAGAGAAGACAAATGAGCAGGCTACCCCAAGCACCAAGCACACAGAAAAGGCATTTGAGAACCCCCCCCCCTCGAGGGCTGGGGAAATGGCTCAGCAGGCCAAGGGCTTGCCCCAGCAGCACAATGGCTAGAGTTCAGATCCTCAACACCTGCATAACCACTGAGTGGGTGTGATACGGTGGGTGCCCAGTACTGGGCAAGCAGAGATAGAGGACCCCCAGGGCAAGCTGACTGCCTGCACTATTGGAACAGGTGAGCTCTGGCTTCAAGTGAGGTACTCTGCCTATCTAAAGTAGGGAAGAATTTATAAAGATGGCCAACATCAAGCTTTGACTTACGCACGTGCACGCACGGACACACACACACACACACACACACACACACACACACACACACACTTGCCCCTCCACAAGGAGAGACACATACAAACCACACATAACATGCAAAAAGAAGCCAACTGATGCTCAGCAGACATAATTCTATCCAGTAAACAGAAAAGGTCTGAAGCTCAGAGGTTAAGTAATTAGCCTAGGCCACAGCACAAGGAAGTAAGCAAGTCTTAATGTTCATGCTGTTAGACAAACCCAGTTCTTTAACTTTTAGAAACTCGTGTTAATTCTACAGATGTCTACAATTATTATTATTCAAAAATATGCAACCAATTCAATATGAAAAAAAGATTTTTTTTTTCCAACAAACTGCCAACGTGAGAGCTTTTGGAAACAAAGCTGCTTCCTGGTGGATAGTTGTGTTTGTGTATTTTCTACACCTGTCTATGCATATTGTTTGGAGATTAGACTGGCTACATGGCTGACTCCATGGCTTTTCCCACTGTATCTCTTAGAAGCTGCTTCATGCTGGAGATGAGGTGCCAGATTTGAAAAACAAAAACAAAACAAAACAACAACAACAAAAAAAGTTTCCTCAGTCTCAGAGGGATTGGCCTTAGAACAACTTCTGCATTTAGAGAACTGTGTGCTCCCATAAGCCACTGCAAACCTTCCCACAACTGATTCCCTCCTCTGCCTCTTGACAGTAGCAGGCAGGAGCCCAGGAGGCAGGAGGACAGCAAGAAGGCAGAAAGCAGTGCTCTGCTGGTGTCAGAAATGAGGTGAGTGGCACATACGTGACCAGATGCAATCCCTTCCTCTCCCTTCCTCTGAGATCTTAGGCTACATTTAATTGCCAGGAATGCTGAAGTGAGCATCGGAAGGTGGGAAGAAGGACCAGATCTAACAAGCAGCACACAGAGATCTCAACGATTCCGGGTCTAGTGGAAAAGCCCTGACATCCTAGGCTCAGCACACAAGAAAGTGTCCTAGGTTCCCAGTGTTCCACTCCCTGGGAAAAATGATCAGAGAGACTCCAGTATTCAGCAGAATTAGAAGAGAAGCGTGTGTGAAGGATGGATCAGAGGCCAGCGGGAACACTTCTGATGTCCTCCTCTTAAATACTTGTTCCACAGACATAGCACAAAGTAAAACAGATTTGACAAGGTAACTACAATTATTAAGGTTTGGCTTCCCACAGCCCATGCATTAAGCCAACAAAAATGACACAGAAAAAGACCTGCTGGTGCTCCATGGCTTACCAAAGCTATTGATTAAAACAGAAAGACAAATCTCCGCAACTATTCACAGCCTGCATGGATGAGGGTGAAGCCAGCCGGTCCCTGCGGTAATGTTAAGGGGTGATACTAGAAAGAGCCACAAGGAGGTGTTAGATCCCAGTGCTTTCAGAGCCCCACACGCAACTCTGCAATCAACCCTGCTTTCTGGGCTTGGAAAGGATGAATCTTGATCTGCAAAGGAACACAGAAAGCATGAGCTCATAGCACCAGATGGCATCGCACAATGAGGGGAAGAAGCCTGCAGAGGGCTGAAAAGAACAAGTTGTGGTCTATATTTGGTGATTAATTAGCTTCTTACGGGGCCAAGTAGAGCCGCTGTAATGACGCTAAAACCATAGAATCAGATACATAGATAAAGCTGGGTGTGGTGGAGCAAGCCTTTAATCCCAGAGCTCAGGAGGCAGAGGCAAGTGGATCTCTGTGAGTTCCAGGGCAGCCTGATCTACAGAGTGAGTTACATGACAGCCAAAACTACACAGAGAAACCCTATTTCAAAAAACAAAACAAAAGATACACAGATAAATACAGTTGCACTGGCCTGAGGAACGGAGTCTTTGGTCTGGAGAATTGTTGCTGTTGCTAGTGCTGACAAGGGTAACTTAGCTCCAAGCTGAGACACAGCGACCCACACTGGAAGTTAAATAAGGAAAAAACATGACAAGTACAAGATGCTATAAAAATCATGGTTAATCAACACTGAACTGTGATTTGGGCTTTGAAGCTGGAGAGGACACGGGTTTGAATTACAACCGTATGAATTTAGCAGATCATTTAACCTTTCCCAGAGTTCCCTCTCTTGTAAAAGTGGAGACCTGATGGCATATTTTCCATAGGGTCATTGTGAGGAAGGAGACGCCGAGTCCAGGACGTAGCCCAGCTCTGGCCTACAGTAAGCGCTTCACAGACCTCAGCGCTGGACCATGAGTCCTCCTGGAGCTTGTTCGAATTCGTTAGACACTGTCACATACCAGGAGGCTGTTCTCCAAATGGTCATCACAGGTTAGCCCACCTGGACGAAGAGGTAAGCAGAACCATGTAACAGTTGCCTGGGCGATGACCCAACCATTGGCCTCCACTTTCCTCTCCTTCTTGTCATCTATGCAAGACTCCCAGCACCCTGCTCCTGAAGAGATTGCTAACTAATGTCCACGTCACTCTTCTCTCAGAAGTCAGGCGACATATGTGCCACCGCTGGAGTAATCGGCTGGAGAGATGGGCTCAGCGGTTACAAACACTTGCTGTATTATAGAGGACCTGGGTTTGACTTCCAGCACCCATGTGGTGACTTATAATCATCTGTAAATCCAGTTCCAGAAGAGCTGATTCCCCCTTTCGGCCTTTGAGAGTACCAGGTACACATACGGTACACAGACATGCATACAGGCAAAATACCCATACACATAAAAAAAAAAATATTAAATGAATCAAATGATTTGAAGACACCTGAGATTTTTCTGCATCTTCCTACCTTTTACAGTATCATATTGCTGTTTAAA